ACATGTGGCGCTCCATTTTTGTCCATGACCTGACTGCGTTCTTAATTTCATGTTTAACTTTTAGAATAGGTCAGGATTATGCAGCACAAAATTATTTATACATTTAACAAAAGGCTGAATGAGTAATGATATATATATACATATTAGGAAGCAACCACTGGGGGTGTTAAACAGAGCCCTCTGGTGGTTTCCTTGGAGAATTACTACTCTTTTTTTTTTTATCCTCCCGCCCCCAGCTATTTGTTTTACAGCTTTTTGAAAAAAAGAAAAAATAAATTACTGCGCTTATTATTTGTTTCAGAAACAAAAAAATCTATTAGATGGTGTTCTTTAAAATTTGTTATTCTCAAAAATTTTATTTTTCATTTTCTTTAAAGACAGTCGGGATGAACACGTATTTAATTCAGTGTCATCTTGGAATAAAGAAATAAATAATACTTTTCAGCATATATATTTTTAAAATATTCTAAAATAAAGCTAAATAAATAATATAAATACATTTTTTATTACAACCTTCTTTATTACCAAAGAATTAAAAATAAAAATGAGTATTTTATGCACTTAATTCAACTTGCATAACATTGCATTTCAAGTGCAACATTGCAAGCGTAAATACCCATCTTGATTTAACAAAATTTAGCGTTTCGAAATATACTTTAATGCCATGAATCAAGCCATTTTTGGAATGTGAATTACCAGTCCACTGATCTTGTGGCAGTAACAATATTTTCATCCCATCAAGTAAATCAAACAGTTTTGTTAAATGCAGCAAATCAAGACATTTCAAGAGCAATACATTATGAAAATGTTGGATCTGCTCCACTAGTGCTTCTCAGTGAATGTGCAGTGATTCAGAATGTCATGCTTTTAGCAGACTCACTTCAACCAACAGAATCGGCTTCACATTGAAGTCAAGACACGTTTTACTCTTTGAATTCTTCAGTGAACGATGCCAAATGATCAGATTTAGTTGAAATCAGAAGGGAGACCTTCCTGTGCTCACACTTCTCTTTAGGCAGTAGATTTCCCACTTGCATACATTACCAGTCAGCATGTCTGTAGCCTTCTGCCAACAGCCATCACACTAATGCAAGAGGAGACATTTGTTTACAAGTCAGTGTTAATGTTTGTGACTGTCTTGAAAGATTATTCTAGGCATATTTTCCTCATTGGCTGTTTTATTTACACAGATGTAAAAAAAAAAAAAAAAAAAGCAACAAAAATACAAAAAATAAATAATTCCAGTCCTTAAAAAAAGGCTTTATGGTTTGGAGCACAAACATATGACAAACTAGCAAAAACACAATCTGCAAGTTGATGCATTCTTTTCCACAGCACAATGGTAATTGCTATTTTACTTATTGCACTTTAGAAGTTAAGCATATACAGATAACTGGTTTTATTAGGACTACTGGACTTGAACTCAGAATCTCTTCAGAAGTTAAAATGGTTCTTTAGCACATTGTTCTATAGGGACATGTTTATTGTTTTTAAGCAAATGTCACCACTAATTCGGATTAAATATAAAGAATTCTATTAAGACATAAAAAAGTGAGTCTGATGACTGGAGTTGGCTGTCACAGCAATGTTGTATATGAACCACTGGGTGTCGCCATTGTGCAGGTGTATTCAACCCCCAGCCCTCAAGAAGTTGAAAACACATCTGCAGCTTTCAGATGTCTCCTGGTCCAACAGACCTGAGTCAAATGGCTGAATCCCCTCCTGCACAGGCAGCCAAGTTTTCCAGAGTCCCGCCAAAGAGTCCCTGATTATTTGACTCAAGTGTGCTGAAGCAGACATATCTAAAAGTTGAAGGACATTGGAACTTGAGGACTGACGTTGAATACCTCTCCTGGAGTGGCTACATATATGAAATATAACATCAAACGCAAAACTCCAGGGTTACTCGTGGCTTGAAATGTTTGTGCTCATTGTTTGACAATTTCACATTTACTTCACTCAAAGTACTTCAAAAGCCATGCGCATGTGTCAACGCCGTCAATGCAACAAGATACGTCCCAAAGCTCTGCCCCTATTTAACCTTATTCAAGCCCCTTTAGCCTCTTACACTAAATAACTTACCAGGAGACTTCAGTCAGGTTGATGAGGGTTCAGGAAGCCTCGGGCAACACGGTGGGGCTGGCAGTTCAAAGCTTTGAACTAGAATGAGCTTGTTACACAAACACACACATGCACACGCACACACACAAAATATTCCCTAAATGAAACTTTGCAGGAAATTTTTGTAAGAAAGGAGAACACAGAAGCTTTTTTTGTAACAGAGATGTTTATTTAGACAACTGAATGCATGCCAGAAAGAACTGTGTCACAGCAGCAACTCTCTGCTCTCTCATACTTCTAAATCTCAGGGAGAAACAAACTTCTGAGTGTTTTGTGGAACATTATCTGCTCTAATTTATTGTATCAACACTTTACTTTAGTCAGGTTGAGGAGAGGGGTGAGGACACAGTAGATGTCATCTTCAAATCAAAGATTAAGGGAGGGGGGAGAGATCCTCAACGGCTTTGGTCAGAATGTTTGTCATTCATACCACGGTTTTGGCAAAAAGACAAAAAAAAATGTTCAAGGGAATTGTAGCTCTCACACCAAACACGTAAAAAGACGATAGAAAAAGATGCACTTACTGTAAGGTAGCATTCACATGCAGTATAACGTGTCTTCTCCTCAGACTAGATTTAACAATATTCTCCACTATTTCTTACAGAGATTCACAGCTAATGTTTTTCAGTTCGGAGAATTATCTTACACATAACAGTTACTAGGTGAAACGAGGACATGGTGGACGGGGTCGAGAGAGAAAGAGGACATGATGAAAGGCAAAAGAGATACAATTGTGCTTATCGTTGTCAAAATGAGATCAGTGAAGCCAGAAAAAGTTGTTGTGCTAAACTTGACACTTTTATCCTCCCCCCAAAAAAGGGGGACACTCCACAATAAAACTTTAGCCAGTTGGTCCGGAAATTAGACTTTGTTGCTGATGCCATCATTTTCCCAATGCGCTGATGAGAAAAAAATATATCAAAAATAAATCCAACCCTTTCACAAAAAATGAACAATAAATAATAATTAAATGGTGCTCTTGTACTGTAATTTTACTGTATATACACAGATAGTTAAGGTTGATGTATATATGTACACAAAGCAATTCAGACTGGGTTTTCAGCATAGCTTTGAACTGGGATTTCGTCCCAGTTTTTATTAATAATAAAAAAAAAAAGTATTAACATTATAAGTTACTGAGGAAATTCAGGGACGGATGGGATTATGCACATAGAGAACAGGGCAGTGCCTCACAATAGTATTCCTAAACTTTGTTGCAGTTTGTCTCGTCGCGACGACAAACATCAATGCGCTTTTGTCCCGCTACAACAAAGTAGTGGACAATTGTGAAATGGAAAGAGCAGGATGCAAGCGCCTCCAAACTTTTCACCAGGACCAATCTGAAAAGTGTGGCATGCATTTTTATTCAGCACCCTTTATGTTGATACCCGTAAATGGAATAATAATAATAATAATAATAATAATAATAAATAATAATAAAAAAAACCTTTAGAAGTTACCTAATTAATAGTGTCCATCCTCTGTATACATTATCAATATAAATACAGCTAAACTGTGGAGGCCTCACAAGCTTCTTAATGGACAATATTGAACAAACAGCATCATGAAGACCAAGGAACATGGCAGACGGGTTGAAGAAGTTGTGGAGAAGTTTAAAGTAAAGTTAGGCTATGAAACTACATCCCAAGCTATGACCAAATATAGAGTGATGCTTAATCTGAGTACATGGCAGCTGAAACCCCTAAGACTAGCTTAACTTGACAGGCTGGTCAAGAAGAGGACAATCAGAAAAGTAACCAAAGGTGACTTTGGAGGTAACATCACCATCTCGGATGAAAAAAAAAAACTTTTGTCTGGAAAGCTAGCAAGTCACACACTCCTGGAAAATGCACCTAATTAATTGGGCCAGATTAATTAGGGCTCAATTAAATAAGCATCTAGTTTTAAACATGTAAAAGAAGATTCTCTGTCTATGTGAAATACATTTTTATCAACCTGCAAAATGTTGCGTGAGGAGAAAAACGAACACTCTGATCGTGCCATTCCTACGGTGCCATATGATGGTGGCAGTATTATGCTGTGGAAATGCTTTTCTTCAACCGAGCCAGGAGAACTATCCAGAGGTGATGGAAACATGGACCGAATGAATGCAGATTATTTTCATGTGTTAAAATCACCGAGAGGTAAATTCACATGAGAATAATGCAGCCTGATGATATAAGAGCTGAACACCGCTGTTCATAAGTGCTCTGCACTTCTGAGCTGTAGTTGCAGCAAAATGTGGTTTTAACAAGTACTGAAGCAGATTTTTATTTCGAGAAAAAAATTGAAAGCCACGTCTATTTCTTTCCACCTCACATTAATGTGCAACTTTATGTTGGGCTATGTCATAAAGTCTTCAAAATACATGAGAATTTGAAATAGCTTGCTGCGAAAAGTTTAAATGACGTGAGTACTTTTGCAAGGAACTGTCTTTTCTTTCTAGAGGATGTGTGCACCTCGATTGAGCACAAATTGTAAAAGGAAGCAAACGTAATTCAGAGTCTTGTAAGGTAAGGAGTAAAGAAAATAGCTTATTAAAATATTGATTGACAACAACATGCACAATGCTTTCCCAGCCTCGGAGGGATCGGTTATGATGAAGATCTTGGTCTGCACAGTGTTATAACTTTGCATGTTTTCTTTGTTTTTCTTTGTTTGAGAACTACTGGTGCAAGCCGTGCACACGTCGAGGTGAACCCTTCTCTTTCCCGCTTTAAGGGCGCTGTTGTTGATCTGCTCTTCTCCTTACAAAGTCCTTCAGAATACGACTTTTCCAACCACGTTCCGTGTATTAAGTTCACACGTGGAAACAGATCGCAGTGGATTATTCGCCTCTGCTTCCGAAAATGTCTGCAAATGAATTAACGTCTCTGTGGCTGTCCTGTCAGCATTATAAGTCAGACAAATCTGTGACTTAAAATTTTTCAGTCCCAGTCTTATATTTGTAGCTTATGTACAGGAGGTTTGAAAGAGCGTCTGCCAGAATGTATTCCCGGGCAAACAGGCATGTTCTAACAACTTTATCGAATGCATTCCTGGTTTTCAGTCCTCTGCTTGTCTTTTTCACAAGTTCTGATCATTCATCTTGCTTTTGTTACAAGGATGTAGTTCATGTATGTTACCTCAGAAAATGTGCTGGGTGATTTTTTTGTTGTTGTTGTTTGTTTTATATTATGCTGGATTCACAACCCAAAGTATGTGCTGATGCTGATGCATGGCTTTGTGCTTGTACGTGTAGATTTGCTTGAAGGTGTGCATCCCGGCTCCTTTCTCAAACACTACGTGGGGGTCTTTGGAGCTCATGGGTCCTCCTGTTGCGTCCCTTCTTGTTTTCCTGCATTCGTCTCCATTTTGCTGTATGCTGGCTGCTGACCCGAGCGCCCCCCGCGACCTGCGACCCACCCGGGCCACCCTGCACCTTTGCTCCGTTCTGCGTCTTCGGGCCGTTTTTAGGGACCGCGCTCAGATTCGGTTGACCTTTCTGGGTATTCTGGCTCCGAGTTGGCCCCTCCCCCACTGGATCTCCAGCTTGAAGCCACGGCCTGCTGTTTGGCGGACTAGCCTGCTGTTTCTGAGCAGTGGGGGCTGCAGCTTTGGGTCGCGCCGCAGAGCTTGGGGCACTGTCAGATTTGCCGTTGCTGTTGGGAGCTTTCACCTTCTTCTGTTTGCGCTCTTTCTTCCAAACTCTGTCACAAAATTCCTCCACGCTGTTCAGCTCCGGGTGGTCTAAGAGAGACAGGAAATCTCTGTACCAGACCCTGTGCTTGGCTGCGTTACCTGCGCCGCCCCCTGCACTAGGAAGCCCAGGCAGAATGTCCCCCAGTCTCTGGGTGGGGATGACCTGCAGGTTGAGACGCAGCAGGGGCTGAATGAAGCCATGTTCCACCGCCTGGCAGTGGTAGACTCCCGTGTCAGACAGGGACAAGCTGCGGATCAACAGACCCTGGTCTGTACGCAGCACCCGGTCATCCATCTTAATCTGACATAGAAACACAGACGTCACAAGAACGCAAATTAGCAACAACATAGTGGAAGCTTAATGAGTCTAAACCACATTTAATCTATGCACAACTTTTTATATATCAACTTTAAAAAAAAATGTTTAGGCTTTAGTGGCCTTTCTTGTACAGAAAGTGGGCAGGAAATAAGGGGGAGAGAAAAGGGAAGACATGCAGCAAATGGTCCGAGACTGGAAACTGAACCCAAGTGTGTTAAGAACGAGTCTATCACTGCAAACTGAGTCACACGGTGCCCCTTTACTAACATTTACACCCAATCTCTTTGTTGTGTATTTAAACAAACAGAAACTTTAGATTACTACAGAATTTGTTTTCTTTTGTGATACATCTTTTATTTTCTTGAAGCAACTTTAAGACAACTGCTGATGAAGCTGTGTACAAAAAGTCACCAGTCGCTATTATATTTAAAAACCATATATTCCATATATTCACTTTATGCACTACTTCCTGTTGTGCTATGTAATAAAATCCCAATTGAGTGCAATGTAGTTTGTGGCGTTGAAAAAAGCTCCTTTATGTGGGTCTGCCCACTCGTTTTTACATCAACGTATATCATATTCTGTGTTTCTAATCCAGCTGTAATATCCGTTCAGACCAACTTATAGAACGTCTTTGTTTTGCATCAGATAAACCTTTGGACCCATGGCTCTGTAGCTCAACTCAGCTTCCTGTATCCTATTTCTCTCTTTTACTGGATCCTGAAACAACATGCTCTCACTGACCAGCTAGAAAAATAACGCCACAGTGCAAATCTTTTCAAAATGTAATTGGTTACATCCTCGGGTCAAGAAAGCGACCCTAAACATCCACACCCAGGGCTTTTTGCACTTTGAGTTCCGTGGATTAAAGATAACAAAGGTTTTTGCTCAGAGAATAGAACAGGGAGGTAAAAAGTCCTTTTATCTGCAAAAATTATATATTTTTTGTTTTTGTTTAAAGATGGATTTATTATCTATCCTGCAGAGGCACTCAATTTACATCCAGAAATTTCCCCATTCTTCACAGATGTTCCCTATTTGACACAAAACGACACATGCTCGCATAAATGTGCACACAGACCTCTTGCTTGCGATCATCGTTGGGCCTCTGCAGCTGCCAGTAAATCAGCGCTCTTTGAGATTTGGGGCTGCACTCCAGAAACATGCTGCTGTTTTCCACACCGAAGACACTCCTGTCCTCTATGCTGCCTCCTAAACCATCCATATCGTCTAACGAAATAAAAAAAATAAATAAAAAAAAAGCAGTCAGAGAAATTGGTATCAATGGAAGACAGAGTGTGTGTGGGAGGCAGTTTTTGAGTACCGTGATGTTGAAGGTCTGAGCACTGCGAGAGCGGATCTCCGTTTCTGATGTCTTGTCGCCTGGTTCTCCTGTGATTGAAACGTCACTTTAAAAGATTGTTGGCAATGAAAACACCAGCGGAGAAATCCATGTTATACTGACCCCTACCACCAAATTTTATGTCATGTACTGTTCGATTTCAAACACTAGAGGGTAATATTACCCAATGCAGCTGAAAAATGCTATGGCATTCACCCTTTATACCGCTGCTTATTCGCATAAATGGAGCAAAAATAAACAATAAATCCTAAAATATGGAAAGAAAGTCAGAAACGTAAGCCTGCTAATCAAGGCAATGCCTCGCTTCATTTCCCTCTGCCGAGCTGTTATTACGGAACACATTCTGAATTGTTTTCCCATTGAGAAAAGCCTCATTTTTCTGTTGTTTTTTTGTCGTCTCTTTGTGAAATTCCACTACGTCATTTGGGTTTCTAACATAATGGAGAGGCATTTTCATAGTGCGGCTTTACTGAATAGCTGTGAATGTTTCCCCCCCTTTTCTAACTGTCACGGTTTAAAACTGTTGACAGGCCGACTCGTGATGTAATAAGAAAATGGGGTGAGCTCAACATGAGGGCTGAACGGAAAGACGCTGAGCAGCGAAAACCAAAAAAAGAAACAAAAAGTTTGTTAAAATGGTCGGTAAGCATCATGTATTCCATTAAAGGGGTTAATGATGTTTTCAAACCTTTGGAATTTTTTTGCCCAAAATTGGTCACATTATAACCACAACCATGTATTGGAATTTTATAAAACACAAATTAGTGTATAATTGCTACTTAGAAGAAAAATGCTTCAAGCTTCTTCTTTTTTTTTTTTTTTATTGAACAATTAAAATCTATGCCTTATTCTGGCACCCAGAAATAAAATCCAATGCATTTACAATCTGAAAATGGACAGAGTGAGGCACAACTGCCACCTAAGGAAGAAGCACATGAATTGGAGAAGAAACCATGAGGATCACAGTAACTTTATATGATAAATTAATTAATGTGAGGCAATTATATAGAATTAGTCAGGCACCCTACAATTCTGGGGTTTATGGGAAAATGGCAAAAAGAACTTGACTCCACATTACTGTCAATACTATATCTGTCTATAGTAGTGGCAGCATCATGCTGTGAGGACAATTTAGTCCAGCAGGACAAATTCAGTTCTTTAAAAATCTCCCAAAGATTTCACAGAAAGAATGGATTCAAACTGAGAATGCGTTATACACTTGTGGGTTGGATATGATAATTTGTTGATTTCTCAAGGTAATTGCATTTTTATTTAGCAGCTTCAAAGTAAAAGGGTCCAATGACGAATTATTTTATCAAGTCTTATTCACATTATGAACTATTTCGTGTTGGTCTATCACATAAATTCCAAGAAAATATGTTTTCAAATCCAAAAATAATGTAAATAAGGGATGTTCTCTCCTCTTTCCTGTTTGAACAATGTATTCTCTGTTGCTCAAGCACTTTCCGTGCATTTCGTGGGTTGGCATTTCTGTCTTTTTATGTCCCTTTCTTGTTCAAGGGAGGAAAACTATGTGCCGTGTTGACGAGACCTGAGAGGAGCCAGCCCTGGCTTTTAACCATGGGGTGCGCCATCTCAGCTGTAACCCTGCCAGGCTGGAGTAAACTCACTGGCCTAAATCTGCTGGTGTGAGAAGTCCTGGGTGAATGAGACAGAGGGCTGGTGTTGCTCGATGTGTGTGAGAGCTACAGCGGTCGGCTTAAGCCTGCTGGTTACAGCGCCGGGTAATTTGAGGGTGTTCATACCTCCTGGCTGCAGGGTGAAGTGGTCAGACAGCTCCTGTTGGCTATAATTTAGTGCATGTGAGCTGGAGTATGTATATTTATGAGTGTGTGTGTGTAGCCCGGCTGTGGGGTGATGGACACAAAATTGCTGCTGGCAGGAATACTAACCCAGGTTCCTGGATTGTATTTCTTGGAATGCATACTTGTGCTTGCGCGTATTTAACGAGAGTTTTTTTTTGTGTCTGTAATAATCTGATCACATCCATGTTTAGGTGGTCTGGCATGTGAACTGTGTCTATGTTTTTCTTTTCTTTTTGTTTGATTTTTAACAGTTGCTGAAGGGCTAGTGGGGGCCTGGCATTAGAGAAGCAAACTTTACGATCCAAACACATCCACACCTTCAAATGCAGTTTGCAGGTGTAGTGATAGCTCTGCGGAGTGACTATATTCATTAACATGATTAGAAAGAAAAGCCTTAGAGCCTGAGCAAATTCCCAGAGGATAAACAAAGCTTAAAGAGCAGTTTTAAAAGCTCCTACCTCTTGGCGGTAGGAAAGTATCTGGAGCACTCAGCACCATCCCAAGCGCAGTAAGGGTCTCTGGCCAGGCAGCACTCGGCGCAGGCTTTCCCATACACCTCACAGCGGTGTAAAGACATCTGTGATACTCCCAGGGCTGAGCCAAGGTACAGCTGTTGCTGTGGGAGTGAAAGAAAAGGCGAGCACGTAAAATTAAATGTCCCTGCGTGGCTCGACTGGAAAATTACTCAATGAGAAAAGAAGTCGCTTGTGGGTTTTGTTGTTAGAAGGGACATGATCTCGGTTTGGTGAAAAACCAACAAACGCTCCTGCAATCCCTTCACTTGAACATTTTTGGTGTAATGATGTCGTTGTGAAAACAAGCTTTTACCTGTTTGGTGGAAAGCTCCATCGCAGTGATGGGAGTAGGCTCCTGTACAAAACAAACAAGAGGCATGAAGTTCACAATACAAGTGATGAAAAACACAGAGTTGGAAGAAAAAACAAATGCGATATGGACAATCTGCTGGAATTGCTTAGTTTTCAACGTCATACCCTGAAAACGGTCATCTCCTCAAGCACAACCTCCTCCAGGTCATGCCAGCTCTCTCTGGGAATCGTTACCACTTTTAGCACTGTTCCCATATCTGAAGAAAACAGATAAAAATATGACAAAGTGTGTCTGACTCATTGTGTTTTAACTTTATAGACTAGGTCAAGTGATCCAAATACTTAAATCCCCCCTTGCATCTTTCTCTCAGTCATTTCACTCCTCAATCGTCCAATTCAGTGCATTTAAGCATTTTAAATGCGAGGCGACTGGAAGCCCCAACAATTAAACTCGGCCATTTATGCCCCTTTTCCGTCAGCAGGGGGAATAGATTGATCGGGTGTGGTCAAAATTGCTGCGGTAAAGTGAGCTTGAGAAAGAATGAGGAGCTGAGGCAGAAGTCATGGGAACAAAACTGAGACATAAATACTTATTTTCTGATCACTTCACAGCAGTTAAAACCAACAAAGAACAACCATTTGGGAAAGGGTTTTTGGTTAGCGCAGTAGATGCTGCCTTTTTCTCTTCCAGCAGCTGATTCTAACAGATGTACTATAGTCCAGCAGTCAAAAAGATGTCCACACTTTTTTGTCTGTGAAAGTTTTAAAAAGCTTGCTTTCTTTTCTTTCCATTTTAAAATTACGAGCTTCTCTGTGTTTTCTTGAACATGAAATCTCAATGTACCATTAAGTCTATTATTGTATGTGTTTGCAAGAAGCCACCATAAGTCTGTTTCGGGCTAATTTGCTTTGATTTCAAGAAAACAAAAGCAAAAGCACAAAATTAACCACAAGCTTTTATTGGATGACGAATGATTGTACCTGTGCCTATGAACATGACATCGTATTGCCCGTCCTCTGCTTCAACTCTGTCCACCACTAGCTGGGAGAACTGATAGTCCACATCCGTTCGAACCATGATGGGCCGCCCCCCAATTGGGTGCACTGGGTTGTACATGGCAGGGTGACCCCTGGCAAAGGTGATGACATCATCTGGAAGGTCCTTGGTGGAATCAAAACCTCCGAATGTTTTGCTGGGGCACTAAAATGTAAAAGAAAACAAATAAATAAAGCGGTTTTACGTATGTATTTTTTTGAAATACATACGTATTTTGTAGCTCAACACTTACAGTGCCAGGGCGGGGGTAGGGCACTCTCCCTTGGAAAGGGACCCATTGGTAATTGGGCCCATCTCTGTGGGCATAGGGACCCAGGAAAACCCTCCTGATGTCAGCCATGCTGTACATACACACCGCCGAGCCTTTAAATATGTTACTGTGGAGAGAGAACGTCAAACATAGAAAGAGTGAGCGTGCAAAAGCATACAGAATGGGAAGGGGGAGGAAAGCTTCATCATAGACAAACAAGAGGGATTCATAAATGATTGGGCACAAGGCTGGGATTAGGTCTTGTGGAATACTGAGGAAAGACAACAAAATGACCCTTCATCACACAAAGATGGAGAGGAGCGAGGCTGTCATTACCTAAGTACTAGATGACAGATTGGAACTTCTCTCTGACTGTTCTCAGCCCCGTGAGAACAGACAGGAATTTGGGCACGCCACCAACAAAACTGAAGACCTGCTAGAGAGCTTTTCTTAAAATCCCTTCCAATATTTTTGCTAGCCTTTGCCTGTGCCAGATGGATGGATTTCGCCTTCCCTGTTCATATGAGCTCCAAACAGGCAAAGAACAGTCATGTGGAAAAAACAGAGTGGGGGGGCGGAGGTACCTATCCAGTCTATGCTTTGTAGGGTCAAACAGATTGCAGCAATTTACACATTGACTCATCTAGAAGGGAAATTTGGTAACTCCCATGAATATTATGCCATCACAGAATTATACGGTGACAATTTGAACTTAAGTCAATTATCATTCAGTCATGTTTAGAACTTATTTATTTTTTTACAGGGCGTCTGGGGAAAGGTAGGGAAATTGATTTATGAATTCTCTAGGTTTGGAAATATTAAATGTATTATGAAAAACAGTTTTGTTTCAAGACTTTATTCCTCATCTCATTGCCAATGTTGTCTTCATCCCTCCGTTGACCATTCGGCTACTCAAACTTTCCAATCCATCCTTCCTGCCTTCCTCTTTCTATTTCATTTTTTCTCCCGTTGATCATTCTGCAGTTCTTCCGTCCCTATTAAGGTTGACTTTGTCTTCATTCTCTCCATCCTTTTCATTTATTCTTTTCTTCTTTTATCCCGTTTGTTCTCGCCATAGAACAATGAAGAATAAAGATCCTTCCTTTCCTCGTCTCTTCATTCTTCTTTAGTTCCTCCCATTCTAATGCTCTTACTTTTAATCATTCCATCTTCCCTTGTGTGCAGCAGGAACCTTTGATTTACGCCTTGGATTATTATTTGATTTAGTCTGTTTGCTCTTAAAAATATTCTAAAGTTTACTCACTGACATCCAGCATTTAATTTTTATTTTTATCTTTTTTTTTTGTTTTTTCACCAGATGCCCACATGTAAGATTTTATTTTATGAAGCAGGTCTTCAGCACAGCTTATGAACCAAATGACTGAGGAACATTCAAGATGTCCTTTGTGTTGCTGACTGCGGTGGGAATTTGTATCAGGCTAATTAGGGATGAGGCTGGCATACACATACAGCCAACATTATTCACCAAAGCATGGAAGATGAATGGATTAGCATTTGGAAATGTTAATTACAAAGAAATTCAATTAACTCCAGGGGCAAGAAAAGACACTGCAATATGTGCGCTTAGGAAGACGAGCGGTTCCACACGACCGAAATAATATGCTAAATACACACACACATACACACGCAGGGGCACAATCCAACATTGATCTGTCAGTTACAGCTTCCGTGTGCCTCATTAAGCAGTGATATTAAAAGTCACTTCCTTCTGAGAGTCTGGTCTATTCATCTCTGAAAATCGGCCACTTAGAAAACCAATTAAACCCCTTTAATTCCTCAATGCCCCATAATTGAATTTGAAAGTGCATGTGTGTGTACGTGCGTGGGTGATTCTGTGCCGCAGGCATGCGAACACGTAGGTGGACGCCCGCCAACGCACAGCAGTCTCAGCAGAGAAAAGCCATACGGGTGTGGCAACGCAAGGCACCTGTCCGTATGTGTTAGCCCACACCGCTGTTCCATTCACCTCGTCTCATCATTGGCTGTGATTGACGGGGGGATGCGTTTGTCCTCTTTTGAAGCCCCTCACACACAGCAGTGGACGCAAAAATGGCCACCCAGCCCCCCTCCTCCTTTCCCGAATGCAAATTTACCATCATCACGATAAGTGCGCCATCTGTGCCATTTCAGCTCATTTATCTGCCCTTCCCCATGAATTCACCTCTCCACATGCTTAAAAAGAGCCACACCCGGCCCCTAAGAAAATCCCCATTCATAGCTGGGGTGGTGGCCAGGGGAGGAACGTGCATTCCTGCTAAGTGAATATCATGTTTCTCTGGCTCCCTCATGCTCCGTAATGCGATTTCCCCGACAAGGTTTGCCAGGGTTTCAATGAGATGAGGGACAGGTAGCGAGGAATGGGGGAATTGGATGAAAGTAATTCCTAAGCAGAGAAGTGGAGAGGTTTTCGATAGGAGAGGAAAACAACCGTAGGACACCTGTAAGTGAATTAGAGGAGTACTGTCTGGGAATTTCGACTGGACCACACTTGGTCGATCACATTCTCCTCTGAGCTTAAAATGCTAACTGAATTACACCAAAAAAGATAAAATTATTTCATGATTACTTAATAGAAAATATAAAGCCTGTGTTTATAACATACAAAGAAACTGGATTTGCCAACAAAAATAAATCATCTCCTTTTGATCTCCTGGCAGGAAATTGATGAAACAAATACGATATGGCCAGAATCCGTCACGCTATTTGAGAATTTAAGCCCTTAAGTGCCGAGACTGAAGGTAATTGTGTTTAAGGTCCGTACCTTGAAGTAGTGAATACGGCATAGATAACTGGATTCTTTGGGTCCTTGGAGCTCATGAGAAATACATCCTCTAGAAATCAGACATAAAAATGAGAGAACATTTTAAAAGGGATGGTCAACGTTTATGTATTTACTTTTTTTCAGTTTTGAAAATTAAGAACCCAGACTTACGGAGTTCATCAAAGTGTGTATCAATGCCATTGACCCCCGGAACTGAACAGATGAGACGAGCCTTTAGAAAAGTAGTCCACTTGTTCACAAGGCTCCTGTGACCTCCCATGTCATTCTGCAGAGAGAAATTAGATTTCTGTCAGCCATACATATACCCGAATTACCTCCAACAGAATAAAATAGCTCTGGTGTTGTCATTACGATTAAGATCATGAGAGGGATTTTATTCTGTTTGTGTGTGTTGTTACCTTACACAGTTGTCCTATCCTGGCAATTGTAGCCTTCCCGGTGTGCTCTCCGTCCATTGCATTCTCCTTAAAAAAGAGGAAGACCTTGTCGTCCTCAGGGTTGTCACTTTCAGGGATCAAGTTAACGCCAATAAATCTGGGGTCTGGAGCAAAACAAAAAAAAAACAACATTATTAAAGCAATTCTTAACTTGCCTACTTTAATGTTATAGGATGTCCTAATTTTACTAGCCCTTTGAAGCAAGAAAACAACTTTTTTGGTACATTTGTCTGGAAAAAAAGAAAATACCTTGATCTTTGTGAATACCTTCTGGATAACACTGTGAAATTAAGCATATTTCAACTACGAAATGTTCAAAATCTTTTACTTCCAAAACATTCATTCACTGTACTTTTCTTTCTTTGAATTTTTCCACTATTAATTTTTTTGACAGGATAATTGCAGTGGAAACGCAGGGGGAACAAAAATGTTGCCTCTCATAAAAATACATCTTTTATTTAAGACAGCATCTGTATTAACTCAGATAAATCTTTAAAAGAAACTAATTTTAGACCAGAACAAACTTTTACATTGCTTGGATTTTAATGAAATGTTTGTCCAGGACATGGCATCTTCAAATGTCTATTCATAAATAACTTGGATAGGTTTCAGGGACATCAAAAATCCAGATTATGACGTGTCTATTTATTTCTAAATTCCTATTTCAATTCCAGTACTCTTATGTTAGAACTCCGAAATCTGTTCAGTTGTATTTTGACTTATACCTCAGTAAATTGCTAACAACCCCACGCCATTTGCTACACTATCTGACTTTACCTGGCATAAGTGCTCCAGATCCAGATTCAATAAAAGCACTGTCTCCATACCACATCCTCACAAAAACACATAACACCTGTCAGTGCTTAGGCGCAACTTTAATAACAATTGAATAAATATATAATGACCATAAGTTTGAGAAAAATATCCAAGCTAATCGGCAAAAGCCTGAATAGGTACCTAGCGAGCAGAAAGTTATCACAACCACTAAGGGCATCATCACAAGGCGTAAATCGAGCCTGCGTCTGAAAAGCTTGGGGGTTAGCTGGGCAGAAACAAGCAGTGCCATGTTACATCTCTGCAGCCTTTTAGGATATGGAGTAGCTGTGAAAAAGGAGAGTGCAGCCAAAGCGGGGAGCAGATTTATAATCGCCCGCGTTGGTGCGAGAACTCCGTTATAAATCATATAGACTTCTTGAGACCTTTTTACGATGAATATGGGCTGCTAAATGTACACCATCAGAAATCTTTTAAGCTTAAAAAGCGTTTTTCAATTAATCACACATGTTATCGACAAAAGAGTTCTTTATTCAGAGGTTACTGGAGCCAGATTCAGAGTGAATGAGAATGTGAAGAAATCCATAAATAAACCTAGCAAACTCTAAACTACCATTTAACCCTAAATCCTTTAAGAATCATGCGGTATTACTGATTCATTCCATATTATTTCTCTTGTTACGTTCGAGTACCATGTAACTTTGTTGATAAAGGCTCAATGGGAGATCCCCTCCCCAGTAATCCATGCAATTACAATCCTCCCTTTGTTGAGATGCCATTGGATTTTGCAGAGCCGAATGGCTGCAATCCCCGGCGTATTTGTTTGAACAAGGTGAAAGATTGATGGGGATTAGAGCTTTAACAAAGACTTCTCCCTTCTAAATGACTCCTATTATTATGTCACAGTAATCAGCACCACCGAGACCAGTATTTGTGATTTTGATGGTATGGGTGGGATGAGAGGAATTGGAAGGAATTTGACTCCACTACAGCAAAACAGCTGAAAGTGGATTAGTTCTGTGGGAAAGAGGGAGGAAAAGGGATGGCACAGCTTGAGGGAAAAGTTCTAACTGACCTTTTGTGGCTCTCTCAGTCGTCTTGCAGTGGTGATAGATAGCCACAGAGACTGAGAAGTCAATAACCCTCCCTGCAGCTCTAATCTTACTAGAACAAGAGAAATCCAGTGGCTCTCTGAATGAGCTCTGATACCTGAAGTCTGCACATGAATGGAAATGTTTCAAGACCTGAGGCTTAGGGGAGAATTAAATCCTTCAAAGTCAAATGAAAAGATCAGCAGTGTCTTTTTTTTTTTTTTCTAATTATGGGCTGTGCTGGTGGTTTAGACCACACTTATCCAATTTTACTTGACAAGTAAATATTGATGAAAGTTGAAAATTTAAAAAGCCAAAAAGACATTTGGTTGAAGAGGAAGGCCACAATTTGATACAAATATGTAGCATTAACCAACCTTTGAATTTCGATCATTTACTTAGATTCTCTAAGCCGAGACGTTTTGCACTCCTGCTTCATTGGTTCATGAGTAGTTTATGATTCAGCCAAAAATAATACCCACAATTTTGCTGCTAGAGCTGGTTTCTCAAAATAACTGCTGCTTTTTAGGCCATTTTAATTTTTTACGCTCTTTTGCTTGTAAAAATAATAATATTTCTTAGAAACTGTAGAGGAAGTCCAAATGTTGACCATTTCCTCCATCGACTATCTAGTGTGGCCACATCGAAGTCCACTTCTTGGTGGCTGATCCCTGCCTCATGACATCTCCTCCACAGGAAGCTTCAGCTGTGGGAAGCTGGTGTAGTTTTCAAACAGAAAGTTTAAAATTTAAAGGAGGTTTTTCTCCTGCAAAGAGGCTAGAACAGAAATAACTGCTGCAGGCCTTAACAATCTTTGCATCCTGCTGTTACAACATATCTGTCCCCACTTAAAACTGACGTCTGAAGCAATGGGTTTATCTCATTTTTTCACTTAGATAAAAAAAATAAGCCAAAACTTTTAATTAAAGCATTAAAATGAGAGTCGATTCTTTTGGTGATTCTGGTCTTTAACCAACTATAATTCTTAAGCAAAAGAGACCTCTTTTTGAACAACTGGACATTAATACACGTGGTATAGCTACGAAGTAAGACAGCAGGTGTCTTACAGATCAGTCATTTTCTGTCTTAAAGAAGAAGTTTATCATACCATTAAGCCATCGCGAATCATGCTGCTCTGTTCGGATTGGATGATGATCTCCGAGGGTACGGAAAATGGCAAAGTCCCTTCCCATGAAATCAGCAGATGTTCCAGAGTACAGCTCTCCATCTGCCGATGAGTTGTTGCAGTCAGAAATAAAGAACCATCTTCACAGCAACCGTGTTCCTTGAGGTCATAAAGGCAGTGGTCAGACTCACCAAGCAGGAGTGACGCTGAAAGCATTTTGGGGTCGTAGGGGCTTTTCCCTCTGCCGTTCTCAAATTGGGAGGCCAGTCGGAATATGTTGTCCTGTGGTGAAAGGGAGTCAAAGTTCAGCTTGAGGCTAATGAAAGCCACATATAAGCCCGGTTGAAGGTACATTTATAGTCTCTGTTTCGAGTTACAATATATTCTCATTATAGCGTTCTATTTTGGGTTTGGGATGCAAAACAAATTCACCCTGACATGAGCAGTGAGTAATGTGTTGTTTTTTTATAACACAGTTGGGCTGCTCTGCCACAGGTCAGCAACAGTTTCTGCAACAGTGAAGTGTAAAGTAAAGCAGGAAAGAGCAAAAATAAGTAATATGTTTTTTTTTTCCATCCGGTGATGGCACTTTTTTAAGCTCAAGTGAACAAATGTCTAAAATAAGGCCTTAATGGTGAAAGCACTCACACCTCTGCCCATTATTGGTCTGCAGAACTCATGCTGGTGCATTGATTACCCTGCAGCCCTCTACTGAGAAAGCTGATTAATCTTTAATGTAAGAGAAGAGTTATTTAATATCTAACTACTACAACTGAACTATTTGCTGCCCCATCTTTTTATCATACAAAAAAAAAAACACACAAATGGAAAGATGATTGCAGTGGTAGACATTTCAGATTCGGCAGCGGCATTGCCACTCCTTACGAAAAGCAAGCATTCATTTAAATTACCTTGTGCACATCCACCAATTTATTAAAAAACCTAGAACTTTTAAATTATGTCGGGGTATATTAAATAATCAAATACCTCTGCTCTTTTGCCCATTTCCAGATAAGCGCAGATGGGGTGGAAGGCTCCTGTTCCACAGATGTACAGATGGGTCTGGTTATACGGTTGAAGGACCCGGATGAAATTAGAACACTCCTTCTGAAACACAAGTGAAAGAAACACAAGGGCTTCAATGTTACAGATGAATTTATACAAGAAATATACAGAACACAAAGTAGGTAAATGACAGTGTATCTCTGTTATTCAGTAGGAAGTCTCATTTTGGTAAAGAAAATTTAAAGAAAATTGTAAAAGTAATCATAGTTACCGAACTTCTATATCTTGTCACGAGACAATTTATTACAGCAATTTTATGTAAAACATTTGAAAAAAAAAAGCCGAAAGGAAAGTAATGCATACATATAATAAAAACATAAAAACTGGCTTTATCTGCATTCATCCACTGAGTTAACATTTTGCAGAACCACCACAACCATAATCACCACAACTGTGCCAGGTCACGTTTTACATGTCTCTACCAGGCTTGCACATCTGGAGATGGACAATCTTGGCTTTCTTGTTGCCACTCTTGCATAAAAGCCAGATTTTTACAGGGGACAACTAATAGTTGTGCTGTCAACAGATCCTCCAATGTGTACAGTGGATCTCTGGCATTCCTCCAAAACGACCATGTGCCTCTTGGCTGCTTCTCTGATTTATGCTCTTCTTGACCGGGCTGTTAATTTGGCAGTATGGCTCGGTCTTAGTGGGGCTGCAGTTGTGGAATACTTTTGCCATATTTTTATGACAGAGTGAATAGTGGTCTGTGTGATTTCCAAAGACTGATAAAGTATGTAAGAAACTAACCCTGCTTCAAACTTATTCCTGATCTGTCTGGTATTCTCCACAGAGGTCTCTTGTTTATCCCAGGCTTAGAAATAGAAATTGCATATCGCTCTCCACTGGAGAGTCAACACTGGAGAGGACATGGGTGCAAATGTCTTGATTTTGCTGGTTGAAGAAAAGACAACATCTCAAAGAAACCTTCAATGCAAAGTAAAGTATGGTCTGTTAGTTGTCTGTATATTTATTGACTGTACCCAGACCAAAAATGAGACTGGCTACTTAAGACCATCTGACTGAGATTGGGTGTATTAACCAAGTTGGGAAGGCAACCTATTGCAAATAATTGCAGAGATGAATATCCTGGTAAAAGGGTTGAGTGGAAATTTTCCTTTCATTTCATTATAATGTATGACTCTGTGTTCTGTCACAAAAAATCCCCTAAAATATGCCTATGTAAGAAAATGTAAAAGAAAAAGTTTAGATGTAGGAATACTTTCATAAGCATTTTGTGTCTTCAAACTGAAAAAAAAAAGAAAAAGACTAACTAATAAGAGAAAGTATCTGGGCTTGGGGAACAGCTTTGATTAAAATCCACTATATGAGCGACTTTCCAGTTGGTTTGGAAAGACTTGCGAGGCAAAGTCTCCATCAAGGAAACCCCACCTGGACGTCAAATCAGAAAAATCAGCCGCAGCTCTTTTAATGATCCATATGCTTGAATTCTCACAAACTGTTTGGTTTGGCTCTCTTCTAACTCTTGATGGTCCCAGCGGTGTGAGACTGTTTATTAGGGCGCTAATCAGCAGCATTGGTTAATGCAGGAGGCTTATTAGCAGCCTCGAGGAACTGATTTAGGCACATATGTTTAAGAGATTAAGCTCAGGTTAGCCCAATTATAAATACATGCTCAATATCCGTCGAACAAATAGGTACACAGCTGCAGGAGGATTTGGAAAAACAGAACACATCACATTAGATGACAGGCAAATTACCCCTTTTCTTTTCCTGCTTCTTTAACACACATTCTGTTCAGACTTTCAAGCTCACAGACGCCTCATTCTGATTATGTGATGATGTGAGGCAAAAATGGATGCAGGGCATCAGGTTGAAGTGATGACATTTTCCAGAGCAGCATGAATTAACAGTGTGATCACAAGAAGCAGTCCTTCCTGCAGCATAGAAATTTCTGTTTTTTTTTTTTTTGGGTGGGGTGGGGGGATTTTTCTCAAAAGGGCAGAAAGTGTTGTTTCAGCTCCAACTATTTTATCTTCCTTGGCAATTTTACTTAAGAAGAAGCTTTGACATTCTGAGAAATAATGTACTTTAGTTTCTTGTTTAAGAGGTTGACCGCTCTCTCCGTTTTGTAGGGATGGAGTTAGAGGGAACTGCTGGCTGGCTCTCAATGGCTAGATTGTTAGCCCGAGAGCAAAACGATAAAAATAGGGATTTATGCTTCCATGGGTAGCTAGAGGGTGAAAGTTTTCTTGACTGGAAGCCTTTCTGGTTTCACGAAAGGAATCGACACCAACACAATTTGGTACCAACGTTAAACGACAAACGATTGATCTTTGAAAATGATCTTTCAAACAGTATGCCATAACATTGCCTTCTCAAATATTGAACAAGGTGTGTTAATAACAGCAGTTACAAAGCTGTCATTTTAGTTGCAATCATAGGACTTGGTGTCAAATTCCCATTAAGGAAAGTAACTTTAGGGGGGCAATTCATCTTACACCTAAATTTCTGTTCAAAAAGATTAGTTTATATTCACTTATTCCACACAAAATGAGTGAAAAGTATTAGTAATATCCATTTAAAATAATCAGTCAGACATTTTATATGACTGAACCTGCATGTAATGCTGCTGCCTTGAATGAATGGGTCTCCGTTCCTTAACGACTTTACCTTCTGTGTTTCCTCTCGTTGAACTGCCGAAGCCCTCTGTCTGCTCACATCATTCTCACGCCCTATTATGTGCATTTCATCAACTTCAATAAAGCCCCTCAAGGGTCAACTGTGTTAAGAATTTAACACGGGTGTCTTTGTTGGATTCGTCAGCTATGCGGTAGGTAAAGTTGCACCTAAACACTGACAGGTGTTAGGAATAGTGACACGAGTGCAGCTGTGAGTTGCCCTCCAGTAATAAACCGTTTTCTTGATCACAAACCGTGACAAACAAAATCCACACGGAGAATAAATGACTCATTTTTGGATACATTTAATCACTCTTTTTGGACAGGGTATTGAGTATGACTCTCCATCACAGAAATGGGTGGACAGATTTGGACATGTGTGGGTAAGTTAAGAAAATAATAATAATAATAAAAAAAAAGGACAGGATCTCTGAGTAAATCCATAAAATGTACTGGACATTTACAAGAAAATTGCTGGATTTTGATTTTCTTTTTCTATGATTACTGGGCAGCAAATCACAAATGACATCAGGAATTTCAACACAAAGCTCGAGTCGTGTGTCTGAACTCATGCTTCAGTACATTGTGGTGCAACAACCTGGACAATGTTACAGTCGCTGGGCGAGGGATAGCAATAAAGTCCTTTGGCATTTTTTACAGGGGGGCAGCTGTTGCATTTGCTTCATGGCTGTAAATTGTGGTTTAGAGAAAGGCATTGCTTTGGGAGCTCTGAATGCTTTGGTAATGTCCTAATCAAGGCCTCTCTGTGTTTTACCCCGTCTCTGCTCTCACCGCTTCATTCTCATAGGTAAACATTTTCACAGCATGCAAATACCTAATTTTGTCTATTGTGCGATTCTGTGAACTCTTTCCTCTGTGTGATGGAGTGCCAGTGCACTGCTCATGTACTTTGGAATGCAAAAGTATTCAAATCTGTTTTCCAGATTGTCTCACAATGCAAGTAGAATTGCACTTTACCCCAAAACCACCCAGTTAAACATCTCGGTCGTAGTATCATGCTGTGGGTGTTCATGTGGGGGAAAAAGTGCAACTAAGTACAGGCAATTAAATAAACATGTTAGAGGGTACTGAAGACGGGAGGCTAGGGTGGAGGTTCAGTTTCCAGAGGAAAAACAAGCCAGAGTAGCTGTAAGATTGTTTGGGCTAACACCTTGGAGGGTGCATGTGTATTAGAATGACCCAGTCAAAGGCCAGAATTAAACTCAACTGATTAGTTGGTCAATCTGTGACAAGACTTGAAAAATGCTCTTCACTTTTTGTCCAACCAAACTGAGCTTCAGCTGTTTTCCAAACATAAATGAACTAATGGATAAATCGCGAGATGTGGAAAGCTGGTAGAAACTCAACCCTATTTACCTGGAGCTGAAACCAGGTTACTAAAATTCAAGAAACACGACTAGCATCACTCATGTTTGATTCTGCTTTGACCACATGTTCTGATCCTGCCAAGGAAAATCCACATCTTGATATTGCTGTTACTATGTTTCACAATTGCGAATTGCACAGTCTGTTCACTTAACATACACTACTTTTAGTAGATCTATCACATAAAGTTATAATCAATGGCTTTAAAGCTTGCATTTGCCACATGCCAAGCTCTTGAATTTCTAAAAAGGGAACGAATGACTTTGCAAGGGGTGATCATTTTCACTTTAAGCGAAACCCAGAAATCTGCCATTGACTCTGAGCCCAGAGGAGCCGCCAAGTTTCAAAAGGATGTGTGCAATTCCAGATAATCCTACAAAACCTGCAGCCCTGCACTCGAAATTCATCCAACCATGAAATTGAGATCAGATACAACACTGAGAGGGCCTTTCTAAACAGCAACACAAAGATAAGATACACTAACACCAGTGAGCATACAAAGTCGGTTGCATGCAGTCCGTGTTCGAGCAGATTTGCCCACGTGAGCCAACAAATGCTGTCAGATAACATGGATTCAGACAAAAGATTTCCACATAAAAATTCACATGCATGCTGGAAGCCTGGTACATAAACATGCTCCACAATTTAATCTATGCATCGTGAAAGCAAATCACCTCAGTGTCCTTGCCCTGTTTATGTACCATGTACACTCAATCCGTAAGATTATTTGCAGGTGTCACTGAGAAACGGTGAACCGGCCCGTAGAGGGTTAAATGTGGCAGAGGTGAAATGGAACATCACCTTTATCAGAGGTAATTTTCTAGCTCTCCAGTTCTATTGTCCCTTCTAAGAATACTCCATCGAGATTCTTACTTCTACTCTAAATAACAATTTAGATTCATCTGAAAAGATTCAGAGAAAAAAAAAAAAGAAAATTGAATGGATAAGGAATATTCAGTCCATGGACAGAATCCAAACATGATGCCATAAAGAATGAGGGACTTACTGCCGAATCCTTCCCTGCCCACTTGCATTCATCCCTCTTGGAGGGGGTGGCAGGCCACGCAATCTGTGCAAAAAGGAGAAAGACAAATTCACATGAGAATGGAGGTTGAGAGAAAGATGAATATGTCCTCTCATGAGACGAATGCAGGGAAGCTGTAAACCAGGGGGATAAAGGGATGCATTTCCACTGAAATTCAGTTGAATTTGCCTTAAATCGATCAATTTTAGGTGACTAAAATTCTGAATACAACGTATTCCCGATAAGCACGTGAAACAGCTCATAGCAAAACAAATTGAAATAAATAGCAAGTTTCACAAAGTAAAACGCGCCATGTGTTTTTGTAAAATACACTGAAAGAGATGAGATGAGAATATTCAGGGGTGTTCAGCAGCTGTTCTCATTCAGATTTTCTCTCGTTAAAAATCTAAAACATAAGGTTGCACTTTTCACTTCAAATATGGTCAGAAAGTTGTGTTTTGCAACTTGACTTGGAGGAGTTTGATCTCACTGTTATTCACATGTGGCCCCTGGTGTCACATTAATTATGAACACACATTGAAGGAATAAGTGTACATGTTTGAGCTGTATTTAAGTAAATCTAAGATGATTATACTCTCAGGACGCCGTTGTGACAGAGCTCTTTCTTTCCTCTCCTGGGCACACAGATGTCAGTAGACAATGGAAATATATGCACATACATGTTCATGCATTAATACATTCTCATATTTCCTTAGTCCAATAATGTGCTCCATCTCCTCTGTGCATCAGCTGCATTTTGTTAACATGAAAACCTAAGCAGCTATTTGGCATTTTCCTGTAATGATGCTAAGCAACGCTTGTAAACAAAAGACAAAATTCAGGGACACATTTCCTCTTTTTTTTTTTACATGTATTTTTCATCAGTTTCTTTTCCCTGTGCAGCTCCCTGCAGCCTGCAGGCAATTCCATGTCAGACCCGTGTGTCTGATAGCAGCCCGAATCAGATAAAAAGACTGCTAACCTAGTCCAGGTGGAGTAATGGAATTACGAACAGCCATGTCTGGACTGAGACAGACGGTGGGCGGAATGAAGGCAAAGAGAAAGAGAGATGAAGTAATGGATTCCAGGGGGGTTTGGGCAACAGAGGAGAGGAGATTTAACTTGAGCGTGTTTCCCTCCAACACACAAATATAAGCAAACTTCAGACTAAAAAGGAGTTTGATTTTTTTTACCTGTTTGTGGTCTCTGTTTATATTGACTAAGTCAAATGAGAAGATATAGTCCTCGGCTCCAACCAGCAGTCTCCCTCGCTCCTCGTCCAATAAGAATGTGTCATAGCCCGAACTATTTGCCAGGCCATTAAAGGTAAGGAGGTTACTGGATTCTAACATTTCTGAAAGAAAGAAATACAAACAAAGAGTCACAAAAATGCAAAGTTGAATTTCAAGCACAAGCAGTACCAGTAAATATATTCCAGCTTTCTAACATTCTTCTTTGTTAATAGCTAAATAAAAAAAATAATAATAATTAAAAAAAATGAAATTACATATATGTATATATATTTTTTTCTTTTCCTAATCATAATGTGAGGCACTGCAAAATTATGACTGAGGACATTACATGTTTCATTAATGTCCACATAAATATTTGCAGGCGCTCACAGACCGAAGCATGCCATTCAAGTCCAGCATTAGCAGTTTTAAGAACTCACAGCATGTCACAATCAGGAACCGAGCTCAGACTGCTCAGCCGTGTGATTGGTTGAATAATTCATAATGGAGTCAGAAACAGTGGAAACACTTCATGTAAGGAATTATGCGTGGGTGGTTTCATGTATCTGCAAATAGGATATTACATAAATTACCATTAAGGGATTTATGACTGCAAATGTACTTCTGCACAATGTTTCATTTGGATGCACAGATTCGTGTAAGGTATGAGATGTCGATGTGTTACAGTGCTAGAAGAAAACCAAAAGCAATTGGTGGCCTTAGGTCCAGCTGCTACTTTATCTATAAGTTAAAGATTTAAAATTCAGCTATAAGCCCTGACCGTGTATACTATTGAATCAGTTTTGCAATATGTTAAAGAAGAGGAAACTTGTGAGGCAAAACTCTGAGGCAAACCAAAGGAAAAACTGAGAGGAAAAACTGCTGTCTATTGAGCCATTTTCTATTAAGCCATTTGTTCTGGATTCATGTTCAGGAAACTTTAATAATAGCAGGTTTGGTTTGTCCCTCTAGAGATTTGTACTGGGCAAAGTTGATCTATTTTAATATTTTTTGTGGGAAAATTCTCAATTTTAACCAGAACCACAAAAGGAGATGAAGTAGCAGCAAGAGAAAGTTTTCAAATAACTTTAAGCGATTCTAGTGGGATGTTCACAACATTAAGTTGTAAGATAGATACAGTGTGAATATGAAAGATGTAGAAAAAAAAGATCAAAATTATTAAAGTTATGGTACACCTTCACACTTCAAGATACAAAGTCAAGTACCATACTGTGCACATAAACAAAAGAATAAAAAAAATATTTAATACATATTTCTATAGCGGACAGTAAAGTTTTATTGTATTTCAGTGTCTAAAATATTATTCTAGATATTAATACTTTTTCACAACAATAACAAGCAAAATGTTAGCTTTTCTGAAACAGGCAAGGCAGTCTAAAACTAAATTTTGCACAAAAACTAAAGTTTTACTGAATACACAACATGTGGGAGAATAAAACATCAAGCAAGATTAGACACCAAAGACATTGATTCATGACATCAAAACAGGCACAACCAAATAAATACACATAAGAGAATAAAACGCGGCTTGCTGGGGAGTAATAGAAGGCATCGGCAGCCGGTCACGGTGTGTAAGATCTTGGACATCTGTCCACATGAAAGAAGGAACTGATGGAAAGGGAGGTAGATGAAGGACACTGTGTTTCTATCCACTTTGAAGGAGCAACAGGCGGGTGGCATGGGGCTGCGAGAGGGGCGTGGTTGTCACCTAATAAAGACGGTTGCACCATATCCACGTCAGTTGAATTTGCGTTTGAAGGAAGCAGAGTGGGTGGGTGTGGGTATGAGTTTGTGTGAACATTTGTAGAGTGCCAGAGAAGGGAACGTGTGTGGGCTTCATGGTGGAGAGATCATTACTATATTTCAAAATCCTGCCATTTGCAAATACATGGCTACCATAACTGTCACCACTTCAATTCTATCAGATTGGGATTATTTAGAAAATGCATCGATTTAAGAACTTTGATTCAAATCTGCTTTTAAGCAACCAACCCGAATCTACAGAAATGTAGAGAAACTGATGATGTGTTTTGATATGAAGTCAAGAGTTTTTCATTCTTATGTTTCAGCAATGAAAAACTCGACATGGACACAGGAAAATAAATTACAGCTAAAAGATTTTGGGATGGCAAAATTGATGGGAAAAGAAAAAAAAGAAGTTGTCATGCAAAGTCTGTATGTGATGACCCGTGTGATGTGAAAACAAGCTGAATCCAGGAGCTAATCCAACACGAACTCTGTCACGAAAGGTTTCCTCTAAATGAGCCGAGGTAGAAAAAAAAAAAGAAAGAAAGACAGACAGACATACATCTCTCGCCATGTGGTGATCTTTGACAAAGACAAGGTGGCCTGTGCACACGAAAACACAGAGGGCTTTATCTGGGCTGAGATCTGCTGTGGTTTGGGAAAAAATTCTGAGAGAACTGGGGCGTAAGCACCTAAGGACCTCCAACCTAAACACAGACACGCTCGTTTGGAAATGGGAGCACAAGAGACGGGGAACAGCAGAGCTCATACAAAATATAGCAACTGAGCGGAGAACATGCATATTCACAGAGAACATAAACTCTGGCACACAAAGGAAAAGGAGATTTATCATAAATGCACCGTGTTATTTTTAAAAATGCAAACCCCACTCTTAGACCTACACCGTGACTCGGAATACATATATCACATCACACAGGTTCTACTTGAAAACAGATACGTTCAGTCAATTCTAATCTAGCTGAGTTTTTACTTACGCAGCACAAGCTAGTTTAGCAACAGCATGTAGAACACGGTCCCTAACCTGGGACCCCCAAACACACACACACACACACACACACACACCAACACTGTGATGAATGTGGCCCCCTTGCCACATACAGCAGGCTCATGCAACCCATTTAGTGCACACAGATACTGACACAAAAACTTCTCCGTACACATTCACTGAACACAATCCAGCCGGACACATGCAATCTTTCTCCATTCAGTATTCATTTTGTGCTCTTTTCTTTTACACAAACGCACCTTCTGCTCATGTTCAATCACAAATTCTACCGCCCACATGTGGAACCTGAAACTACACTGCCATAAAGATGCACTAACATGCACTCATGCACTCAAACATGCAAAAAGACGCCATACCTGCATTCACATGAAATCCCTGAAATCTTGTGATTTAATTAAGCTTCTGAATTAACTTTACTTAAAGAAAGAATGGAAACTTGGTCACAAATCCTTATTTACACACAAAGCTCATGTTTAGCAGCTGGAAAGCTATTCATACCTTCAACCTTCCTACTGTGCCTTGCTGCAAACACAATATTCTATGTATTTTAATAAGGTTCTGGGTGATAAACCAATGCAAGGTGTTTCATTGTGTGAAGTTTAAAAATAATACATAGTTTAGAAAATCTAGAGTAACTGTGGCATGTATTTGTGTTCAGGTACTGTTGACATCTATAGACAAAATCTTGAAAATTGCTCTTTGAACATCAACTGAAGTCAGATTGGAGAGTAATTTTGAAGTCTTGCTACAGCTTCTCAGTTGGTTTACTTCTTAATGCAGATTTTCTTTCGGGATCGCCTGAATCAACACTAAGTGGGCTTCCCTGTTGGAAAAGAGCGTAATATTCTCCAACAATCCTTCAGGGCCATCGTTAATATGTTTCATTTCTACTTAGTTCAAATTACGGACAGGTGGATTCCACACACAGATTAGGTGAATTCCCTGTGTCCAGAAGTGCTAAATCCATTTGGACCTCCCAACAGACACACAGCTGTCATGTTGTTATGTAATTGTGAATAAATCTGGAGTCCATCTTGAGCGTACAATAAAACTGTCTCATCAAAATTAACATACTGCAAGAACTCAGCCTTTCGTATCAGTGAACGTTACACCAGACCAGCAGAAATAATAATAAACTCCTTCAAAACAGATCACTTCTGCAAAATGCTACAACAGTTGTGTTTATACCAGTGTTGGAATAATTGAAACACAATATTTTACTCATAAGTTCAATTTCTACTCTAAACAGCAAAAATTATGATAATTCAGTGGTTGTCAACTGTTGAAAAAAGAAGAGGAAAAATTATTTGTGCTGTCCTTGTACTGGAGAATAAATGTGTGAAGACGGTGAGAAATTTTCTCCAATAAATGCATGTTTTTCTTTTTAAATGAAATCAAATGACTTGCTTGAGAAGTGCCTATGTTTTTCTGTTGTTCATATTAAAACAGCCATCTTTCGAAAATTGTGAAATAAAATACGTTTTAATTTTGTGGCAAACTTCTTCCATAGATGCCACTAAAACCATACTTATCATTCTTGAAAAATAAAACGGTAAAATGTAAAGGCTTGAAAGGATCTCAACACCCAAAGATACAAAAAAAAAACAAACAAATAAATAAATGAAATAAAAAATACAAATAAAAAGTCTGATATTTTAGTGTATGAAAAAAATACATTTTAATTTCAATCAATGGCACAAAATGCTGAATGGACACAAATTTCTGTACTAAGTTTCAATGAATGGAACAAAAAAAAAAGAGTATGAAAAATACTATTATTGTCAAAATACAAATGTGGGCAAGAATTTTATTAACAAGCAAGAAATATCCAAACTTGAAATAAAAAATTAAAAAATTACAAAAATGATTATTACCATACCAAGTTACAACATCTCATCAGCATTTTATATTAATTTAAATATTATGACATACATTAGTATGCTGTCAAAACCATGTTCTAATACACAGACAAGAGTATTTTTAATTGTCACAGTATTGGGCAGCTGTTTAGGAGTCAAGTAGCCACAACTGTAAAAGCACAATTCAATCTATTGGTGTAGTTTGAAAATAATCAGTTGAAGTTGTACATTTTTTTAATTTGGCAAAAAAAGCTACTGTGAACTTAGATCTAAAAATATAGTAAAAGGTTTTGGTTAATAGCTTTAGATCAAGTTGTTCCTTTTTTTTTTTGCAAAACCAAAAAATATCTTGATTTTGTCTCAAAAAACTAAAGGAGAATTTTTTGCCAATGTAAGGGATTTTCATTAAAAGCACCCAAAGCACTTAAAATTTTTATTTAATTCATGCACACAGAAAAAAATATAAAGA